GCTAAGTGCTAAGTCCTTTATAAGCACAAAAGCCTTGGGGAAAATATAGTTATTACTTCCAATTCATAAAGAAGTAAATGGAAGGCCTAGAGGTTGAGGGACTTGCTCAGATATATGGAGTCCTTGTGTGTTGAGCCAGGGAAGTGTAGTCTGACTACAGAGCCCATGTCCCTCCTATCAGGTTTCACTGCTTTCCACTCTATGTGACCTCAAAGAGCTCCAGACACTCTTCCCAAACTCAGTGACCCCAGAATTTCAGAACAAGTCTTTGACTTACTCCTCAGAATAGACAGAATAATGTTCCCCCAGGATGTGATGTCATAATCCCTGAAACCTACAAATGCTCTTATTTGGAAAATTATTATTTGCAAATGTTAGTAAGGATGTTATCCTGGATTTTACAAGTGGGTCCTAAATGCAATCACAAATGTCATCAGAGGAAGGCAGAAGGAGATTTGACACAAACAGAAAACAAGAAGGGCCACATGACTACAGAGTCAAAGATTGGAGTAACGGAGCCACAAGCCAAGGAATGCTGGCAGCCAAAAGGAGAAGGAAGAAGCAAGGAACAGACTCTCCCCTAGAGCATTCCAAAGGAATGCAGTCCTGCCAACACCTTGATTTCAGTCTATTGAAATTGATTTCAGACTTCTGATCTACATAAATTGTGCACTTCTGTTGTTTCATGCTATAAAGTTTATGGCAATTTGTTAACAGAAGAAATTTGGAGCGATATATGGAATTATGTAAATTATGCTGTGCTTTCAGTTTAAAGATTCATTCAGTCAGTCAACACAGAAATAATTGAAGCAATATAGTAGAATAACTAAAAATGAACTCTGAGTTCACACTGGATTTATGCCTCCCCCTGCCTGCCATCACCTGCTGGCATTGGGGGGCACACCTGTAATCCCAGGGACTCTGGAGATTGATGCAGGACGATTCCACATACCAGACCAGCCTCTGCAATTTAGCAAGATCCTGTCTTAAAAAATAAAAAGGTCTGGGGATGTAGCCTCATGGTAGTGTGCTCTTGGATTTAATCGTCAGTACTGAGGGGAAAAAAAAAAAAGTAAAAGCAGATTTTTGGATTCAATTCAACTTGGGGGCAAATTCATTTCCCCCTGCCTGCTGTCACCTGCTGACTGTGTGACCTTAAGCAGATTGTTTAATTCTCTAAGCCTCAGTCCCAATATCCTCACAATGGCAACGGTGACAGTACTTGAACTCAAAAGAAGTTTGTGAAAATTACATGAGAGCTAGGGATGTAGCTCAGTGATAGAATGTTTGACTGGAGTGCCCAAAGACCTGGGTTCCATCTCTAGCATGAAAGAAAGAAAAGCAAAGAAAATCACTGAGAATTTGCAAGTAAAGAGATTTGTAAATTTGTGATGGATCCAGGGTTTCTACTCCTCCCTGGGCCATAAGAGGGTTCTTTGTCATTCTGAAAGTGACCGTTCAGAGACATCAAGGCTTTGAATGTAAATTCCAGAGGGCAGTGTTGGAGTCACTGATGGGAGAAGTGGTAGGTGAAACTTCTTAAAAGAAGTGACTTGTAAGCCCTCTGAAAAACACAGTAAAACTTAAAAACATGGATACTGAGGTTGTTTTACTTTTTTACTGTTTTGTTTTGTTTTGGTACTGGGGATTGAACCCAGGTGTGCTTAACCACTGAGCCACATCCTCAGACCTTTTGATTTATTTTTATTTTGAGACAGGGTCTCACTAAAGTTGCTGAGGGTCTCGCTAAATTGCTGAGGCTGGCTTCTAACTTGTGATCCTCCGGCCTCAGCCTCCCGAGTGGCTGGGATTACAGGTGTGCACCACCATCCACAGCATGGGTACTATTTTTAATACTATTGCTATAAATGTAAATACATAGTCTTAAGTTATTACAGAGATCCTAGGAAAGATCGCTTTACCTGAAAAGTTGAAGACTGATGAGAATGATTTGAGATGGTAACTCTCTCTCTCTCTCTCTC